GCAGGATACAAAGTCAACATTCAGAAATCACAGGCATTTTTGTACACCAGTAATGCAATAGAAGAAGAAGAAATCAGGAAAAATATACCATTCGATATAGCAAGAAGAAAATTAAAGTACCGAGGCATAAATTTAGCCAAAGAGGTAAAAGGGCTGTACGCAGAAAACAATATAAGTTTGAAGAAAGAAATTAAGGAAGACACAAATAAATGGAAGCATATACCGTGCACATGGATTGGAAGAATTAATATCCTCAAAATGTCCATAGTACCCAAAGCAATTTACAAATTCAACGCAATCCCTATTAAGATACAAATGATGTGTTTCACAGAAATCGAACAGACTTTTCAAAAATTTATATGGAACCATAAATGACCCCGAATAGCCTCAGCAATTTTGAGAAAGAAAATCAAAGTAGCAGGGATCACAATACCAGACATCAAACTCTACTACAAAGCCTCTATACTCAAAACAATCTGGTACTGGCACAAGAACAGACCCATAGACCAGTGGAACAGAATAGAAAGCCCAGAAATGAGCCCAGGTCTATATTGGCATCTAATATTTGACAAAGGGGGCAGAAGCATAAAATGGAGCAATAATAGCCTCTTCAACAAATGGTGTTGGGAGAGCTGGACGGCTACATGCAAAAAATTGAAATTGGATCATCAGCTGACACCATACACAAAAATGAACTCAAGATGGAGAAAAGACTTAAATAGAAGTCGCAACACCATCAAAGTCCTAGAGGAGAACATTGGCAGGAAACTCTCAGATATCCCACGCAGCAATTTTTTCACCGATATGTCTCCTAAAGCAAGGGACATAAAGGAAAGAATAAACAAGTGGGGCCTCATCAAAATAAGAAACTTCTGCATGGCAAATGTAAATATCAGCAAAATGAAAAGGGAGCCAACCATATGGGAAAATATATTCGCTAATGATATATCAGATAGAGGTTTGATCCAAGATATATAAAGAACTCACTCGACTCCATTCCGAGAAGACAAATGATCCAATCAAAAAATGGACCAAGGACCTGGGCAGACGCTTTTCCAAGGAGGAGATACAGAGGGCCCAGAGGCATTTGAAAGGATGCTCAGCATCACTAGCCATCAGAGAAATGCAGATTAAAACCACCATGAGGTACCACCTCACACCGGTCAGAACGGCCATCAGAAACAGATCAACAAACAACAGGTGCTGGCGAGGCTGTGGAGAAAAGGGAACACTAGTACACCGCTGGTGGGAATGCAGACTGGTGGAGCCATGGTGGAAAGCCGTGTGGAATTTCCTCAAAAAGCTGAAAATGGAACTGCCTTTTGATCCAGTGATTCCCCTGCTGGGACTATACCCTGAAAACACCAAAACGCCAATACAAAAGAACCTATGCACCCCAATATTCATAGCAGCACAATTGACAATAGCCAAGTGTTGGAAGCAATCTAAATGCCCATCAGTAGATGATTGGATCAAAAAGTAATGGTACATATACAGAATGGAATACTATGCAGCAGAAAGAATAAAAGAACTTCTAAACTTCGCGACAGCATGGATGGAACTGGAGAGCATTATGCTAAGCGAAATAAGCCAGGAGACCAAAGACAAATACCATATGATCTCACCTATAAGTGGAACCTAACCAACAATACAAAGATGCAAGGAAAATAAGACCAGCAACATTGAAAGGAAAAGAAAACAACAGAGACAAGAGTGAAGGAGGGAGGAGGGGCAGCGAAAAGGAAGGGAAGGGGAAAGTCAAGGAACATATAGCAAGGACTCATGGACAAAACCAAAAGGGAAGAGCTGAGGGCGGGAAGGAGGGAGGGGGCAAGAGAAAGTGGTGGGGGGTATGCAGAGACAAATGTATTTGAAAAAATAAATTAAAATTAAATTAAAAAAAGATATCACGTTACACTTGTCAGAATGGCTACCATCGATAAACAGTTTTGGGCGAGGATGTGGAAAAAAATGAATCCTGGTACACTGTTGGTTGGAATGCAGTCTGGTGCAGCCACTGTGGAAAACAGCATGGAGTATCGTTTAAAAATTGTAAATTTCTTTGACCCAGCAATTCCACGTCTGGGACTATATCCTAAGGATACTGAAACACCAAGAGAAAAAAATATATGCACCCCTATGTTCATAGCAGTGCTATTTACAATATCCAAGATTTGGAAGTAGCCTAAGTGCCCATTAGTAGATGAGCAGATAAAAAAGCAGTGGTACATTTACACAGTGGAATACTATGCAGCAGTAAAAAAAGAAGAAACTCTTACATTTTGCAACAGCATGGATGGATCTGAATAATATTATACTAAGTGAAATAAGCCAATCAGTAAAAGACAAATGCCACATGACCTAATTTATATTTGGAATTTTATGAACACAATAAACTAACAAACAAAGTAATAACAGAAGCTTAGATACATGAAAATGACAGCCGCCAGTAAAGAAAGAGGTGCAGGATGAAAGATGGTGAAGCAATGACCAAAGAACATTTATGCACAACCCATTGACACATAGGGATTGACTTAGGCTAGGGAGAAGGTCGGGTTGGGTGGAAGTGGGGAAAGGGAGAAAAAGCAGGAACTGTACTAGCATAAACAATAAAATAAATAAATTTAAAAAATGAATAAACTTTAGAAATATAATTAAATAAAAAATACATTTTCTTTTAAAAGAAACTTTATTTCACTAACATAGATGGAAAACTGATGTTGTTACGATCCCCGCAAGTATGAGCTCAGAAATTAGAGTTTGATCACACACTCTTTATTATTTGGCCAAGTTTTACCTGCGCAGGGGCCACCTTTCCCTCGAAAGGAAAAAGGCGCGCTGCTGTTAGATTACATGGATTTTTATAAGCAGAGCAAGCAAGCAGGATACAAGGGCAAGAGGTGGCAGTTAGCTATTGGCTGTTTGGTTTTTCTACATTGTTACTGGGGGTGTCACAATTCTTCCATCATCTTGGGGTATTGTTTGTTCTAGTGTGGGTCAACTTGTTCCCCTTAGTCTGCCCATATCCGTATTGTTCTTGCCCTATGCCTGCTCCTTATTCTTGTCGACTCTGGCCCAGCTGCATGGGGGCTGCACCCTGATATGTCTTTCTTGGTATTAGTTCCTCCCTTATCCTCAGCTCTGACCCTGCTTTTACGGGCTGTTTATCTGAGTCAAGGCTCAGTCATTATCCTATCTTGTTACTAAGGGGGGCTCTAATTCTTCCCTTCATAAAGTTTGGCCCCTTCAATGTCATTTCCCTAAGTAGAATGTAGCAATAGAAATAAATATAATGCAAATCAAATAATAGTCCTACATTCCATCTAGAGACTAATGTCTGACAGGTACTCTGAACCTCAGGCCTATATGTCTGTATTTTTAAAATGGGATCAGGAAGTATTAGAAGGTGCTAATGATACAATGGTAGTAAAGGAAAGCTTTTTCCTTGACCTATTCAGGTCCAAAGAAAATTGAAAACTAAATCACCCTCTCCACTAGGATTCTTGGCCTGCCCATTGTTGCTGCCCAACCCACATCTCTGTGAGGCAAGCAGGACAGGGGTTATTGTTTCCATTTTCCACTTAAGAAAAACTGAGATTTCGAGAAACAACCAGCAAAGCCACTCATCTCTGGTGTTTCCTTCTCCTAGGAACTCTCTCCTACACCTGGATCCAGATGCAGGGCTTCCTTGGTCCTCCCACACACCCTGCGCCGACGCTCATTGAGGCATTGGTGGTTCAGAGGGATGCACTATCGGCCTGCTTCTTGGGTTAACCTAAGCTTCTGTACCCAAGGCACTGGGACCCAAGGGCCCCCTCTCTCTGGAGAGAGGCCCTCTAGGGCTGCATGCAGGGGATAAGCCAGGCTATTTTTATCACTTCCTTCCTCCCTCTCAAGCAGTGGCCACTGTCAGCTGCTTTACATAGAACTTCCACTTCAGCCTCAACCAGGACAGTTCAGGCCACAGAAAGGGAAACTTGACTATAGTCCTCAAAGGTAAGTGGCCCTCTTTATTACTCAATACTACCTCCCACACCAGGGACCCCTCCCAGATTAAGAGGAGGCAGGCTGTCAAGTCCTGCCTATATGCCTCCTTTTGCTCTCCCTTCTAGAAAATGGGGTTGGTGGAAAAATTCATTCTGAGACACCTGCTCTTTGGCTAAGTCGATTCATTGGTTTATTCAATGAACATTCATTGGAAGCTGCCATGAGCTAGGTTGTAGGGTGAGGAGGGCCTGGAAGTTGGGAAGAGCTTGTCTTACAAAGGGAGGGGACAGCTGTGGAGAGGAGGCAGTGAATTAGGCAGAACACTGGGGCTCATGAGACATGAGTTTGAGTTTGGCTTCTGGCACAGCCTACTGAGTGACTCTATGAATCACTCTCTGTCTCTGGGCCTCAGTTCCCCAAGCCTGGATAATTATCCCTTCAGAGGAAGCCCCTTCTGTGTTCCCTTTGTTGCCCCCACCTCAGCACCTCAGCATCCTTGTTGTGCTGTCTTCTATATTTTTTTGTTACATAAGAGTTCACTTAGCCATAGCAAGCTGCTAGAAACTGATGGGATGAGGTGTGGTATGTGAAGTCCATACCATTTGCGTAACCTCAGGCTTTGGCAGGGAGGCTGGAGGCTGCCTTTCGTGGCCCTAGTGGCCAAAGGCCAGGACTGTAAATCATGTAGCAGGGACCTACACCTCCCCACCTCCTGAGGTCCTGTTCCCTTCAAAGTTACCCCTGTTCCCTTCCTCACCACAGCTACTCTCACTGTCCTGCCTTCTGAGTATTCAGTGAGGGTTAGCCAGGCCCATGTTGGGCACACTTCACTTCCCTAAGTCTTCACCACCAAAGATTCACAGGCAAGAAAGCCAAGGTCTGAGAAGGTAACTGTCCCTTGACCCAGATCAGATCCCATTGTGTCCATGGTACCCATCAGTTCTTGGGATCGGGTGCAGGTTGCCAGGCACTCCCTTACCTCACAGCAACTCTTCCCACAGCCATCCTGCACAATGCCTGCCTGGGCAGCCCTGTTCCTGCTCTGGGTTACTACGGAGGCCACCAAGGACTGCCCTGTACCATGTACCTGCCAGGCTCTGGAAACCATGGGGCTGTGGGTGGACTGCAGGGGGCAAGGGCTCACATCCTTGCCTACCCTGCCAGCCCACACTCGCCACCTCCTGCTGGCCAATAATAGCCTTCGTTCCATGCTCCCTGGCACCCTCGACCACCTGCTCCAGCTGCAGACACTCGACGTGGCACAGAACCCCTGGCACTGTGACTGCAGCCTCACCTACCTGCGCCTCTGGCTGGAGGACCGCACACCCGAGGCCCTGCCGCATGTCTACTGTGCTAGCCCTGGCCTTGCCACCATCCACCCACTGGACCAACTCACAGGCTATGAGCTGGGTAACTGCGGCTGGCAGCTAGAGGCATCATGGACCTATCCAGGGGTCTGGTGGGACGTGGCACTGGTTGTTGTGGCCACAATGGGCCTGGCTCTCCTGGCAGGTCTGCTGTGCAGTGCCACAGAATCTCTGTACTGAGCCTAGGCTCCCAGGGTCATTCTCAGTCCAGACAGTCAGGCCCTGAGCTTTACCCCAGATTCTACCAGCCCTGATCATCCAGACCACCTGTAACAAAAAAAATAAACTGGCTGCTCAGCCATTTCATTCACACTCAGAGATTGTTGTCCCTCTCAGCTTCTTCTGGAAACCTGGTTTATTTATTTATTTTTATTACTAGACATCAATTGGTGTTTCTCTGTCCACAAAGTTTCTAGTAAAGTGGGCTGTTCAACTTCCTTCCAACTAACCACTCCCAATTCCACTATCTGGATATCCAGAGCTCTTCCCCTGGGCCTGCCAGGTCCCAGGGTACCAGTTCTCAGACCCTGCCCTGTCTACTAGCACCTGCTTCCCAAATGGGTCACCCTAGACAGCCCAGGCCAATTGCATATCAATATTCAGTCCCTCTCTAAATTCAAGAAAGAAAACTTTCTCTCACAACACAGAAGTGAACAGACAGGAGATACTGAAGAGGGCACTGGTCATCTGTGCAACAGACATACACTGAAAGACACTTCATTCTCAATTGCCTTTGGCCACTGTGTTTGGCCCTGAAGTCATCTGGGCTCAACTGGCCTCATCCTCTTTTTCTTCTCTTGCACTAGTTTCTCTCCTCTTTACTTCCTCCTACCCCTCTTCTTCAGAAACAAATCATCAGATTATTCCATTTCTCGTGGAAATGGCTCCCTTCCCGGTGCTGATCAGACACCTGCAAACTCTGGGGTCCCACTTCTATCCCATGCACCAGATTCTTCAAACAAGACACTTCTCTCCTTCAGTGGAGTTACAGTGCTGGCAGATAAAACAAACTTTTCTCCACCTTACAAGATAACATTTAAGCCTGTTACTGGCCAAGCAAAATCCAAATATAGTTACACCAAGGTTTCTCCCTTAAGGAGTTGTTCCATGTAGCAGTCCTATGGCTCAGAAGGTGCCACAAGGAAGGCCAAGTGGGCACCGAGTGCTACTGAAGGGCACTTACTCACAGAAATGAGTCTAGAATAAGAGCCCGAAACTTAGGATGAGGAATGGACTGTAGAAAGTGGTAGATACTGGCAAATCAGAGATCCCATGTTCCATCCAAAGAGGTCCAGACAAATGCTACCGTGTGGAGATGAGGACCCAGGTGGGCAAAAGTGCTCAGTATCCCATTCTTCTAGAGAGACAGGAAATCTATATTTTTATGTGAAATCTCTGAATTATTCAAGTGTTGGCAACTAAATCAAAATAATTTAATTGATTTCTCAAAAATATAACATATATGTTCAACTACATGGAGCATAGGCTGAGAGTCCATAATTTGTGTACTAGGAATCAGCTATAACAGTGCTACCTAATGAAAACAATCATAAAAGCTGTCATCTACTTATTGGGCATATAATGTGAAGCACCTTACAATGGTCATTTTCCTGCACGCTGTGAAAATCCTGAGAGGAAGATACTGTTCTCCCTGCAGTATATGAAGGAGGACACAGGTCAAGGGCCCCCAACAGTTACTTCGTAGGTACAATTCCAGACAGGTCCCCTTTCACATCTGAAAAGTGCTGCCTTAAAAGCTTCCTGGGCCTCCTATAAATAAGGCTTTTCAGCCTCCAAGTCTCCACATGGGGTGTCTAGAAATTCTGCCCCTTCTCCTTCCTAAAGGCCAAGGTGTGCAGCCAAAGATCTGGTGCAATGGTGATTACAGGCCTTGATCCTGTTGACTGAGTGGCTTGGTATGGTAGGAACCTGTCAGGAGCCTGGGAGCCCAGCGGTGCCAATGCAGGTAATGATTTCCCTGAGGATGGAAAGATTGAAGGGAGCTTCGGTGGCCAGTCAGAGGTTTATAAGGTGAATAAAGGATTCACATGAGAGCCTTAGGAAAGCAGACCCACTGGGAAGGTGTACTTGCCATCTCCATCATTCCCATGATCTCCATCCCAGACCTGCAAGGCTTCCACTACAGAACCACAAGCTCCGGCCCTGGCCAGCTCAGTTGGTTGAGCATGTCCTGCAAAACAAAAGGTCACTAGTTCATCTCCTGGTCAAGTGACATGCGTGGGTTGTGGGTTCAGTCCGCAGATGGGACACATAGGTGAAGCAAGTGATGTTTCTCTCTCACATCAATATTTCTCTACCTCTTTTTCTCCTTCCTTTCCCCCTCTTTTAAAAAACAAACAAACAAACAAACAAACAAACAAATAAAATCTTTAAAAAAGAAAAGAACCACATACTCCACAGCCACCAAGGCCAGCATCAATGCCTCCCACCACCACAACCAACCATCCTCTACAACTTACCACTGTCCATTTTAGGACTGCAGCCAGCCACACAGTGAACTCGCCAAGACAATCGACACAGTCTCCCCTCCCCACACAGCCATCAAGAACACCCTGAGTATCCATCATGGCCTGCACACCTGCGTAATATCTGCCACACTCTCCATTCTCACTACCACAGCCATGGATATCAGCCCCATGATACACTGTTCCCCACCACCATTTTCTCATTTTCACTGTCACCATTAGCACTAAACAACCATGGACTCTATCCCCCTTATGAGCAAAATGCCCAAAATGCCAGCTCTGTCATTGTCACCAATCTATCCAGTCCCAATGACATCATCCTCATGATTGTCTCCTTTATGAGTATTTTTAAAATGTAGGTGCTCATGGAGAATTTGTAGAGGTAATTTTCACTAGCTGCTGTTACACAACCACCACATCTTGCTTACCCCAACTTAAGGTTCACCGCCCAAACCACATACTTTGGCATGGTCAGTTGTTCACCAGAAAGCTTTCCATAGAACTCCTGGCTGCTGCCAAACCTGTCTGCTTGGGCTTGCTCAAAGACCTCTGCTGGCCTTCTACCATCTTCTGGCTAGTGGGCAAGCATAGACAGCAAAGAGGAATGTACAGGCCTAGAAATGTATAGGTGACCTTAGTAAGCAATTGTTTTCTCAAAGCCAGCCACTGGCACCACCCTAACTGCAGAGGAGTCCTGTAAACATGTTCTTTGTATGTGCCCAGCAACAGGTAGCAAGTGGGCATCTGGCAATTGTCAGCTCCACATGGTCTATGCTAAGTTAATATGTGCCTGATCAGAAACAGGGAATGCTGCGGAAAGGGCATTTGTGAAGTGGTGGGCATTCTTAGTGGATACATGCTGAGTGTTGGCCCTGAGACACAGCCAGACCCAGCTCCTAACAGTGTCCATCTTGTGTTTTTTGCACATGCACGTACCCACAACTCCTGTGAGCAAGAAATGAGTGCACAAACATGCACACATGACAGTCGTCTAAGGGCTCCATGGTAACCCAACCAGGATTCCCACCATCTCCAGACCCTGGGGATGTTGCATCAAACTAAATGAGAGCAAATTTCCCTGTAGGGCAAAGAATGTACTTCATCTTCTGTGCAGGTGCCTGAGATGGCAAATTGCAGAAGGTGGAAGTCTCTGTCCTGGCTAAGCTCTGTCCAAGTTGGTGATTCCATGGTCTCGGGAATCTTCTAAGAACAGAGTATAACTTAGCTGACATCCTGGCCTCTGATTGTAAACTTTCTAAATGGCTTTGGAGTTGGAATCCTCATTTTAAGTCACTCTGGATAATAAGCAGTGATGATTCACACTTCAGGCTTAGGAAAATGCCTCAAGAGCTTGGTAAAGTTTTATTTTTTTAGATATGACTTTAATATAGTGGGTAGAATAAAGAGAGAACTAAACTATAGTACTTTTTTAATTGCTCTTCAATTACAGTTGTCCCAGTCCCCCGGCCTCATTGCTCTCTCTTGTCCTGTCCCCTCCCCTTCCTGCCCCCACCCCACACAGTCAGTCCCCACGTTGTTGTCCTTGTCCATGGGTACTTTATACATGTTCCTTGATCCCTCCCCTTCTTTATCCCATCACGCCCATCTTCCTGCTCCTCTGATAGCTGCCAGTTTGTTCTTTATTTCCATGTCTCTGGCTCTGTTTTGCTCGTTTGTTTTGTTGATTAGGTTATGTTTATAGGTGATATCATATGGTATTAGGCTTTCACTGCCTGACTTATTTCACTTAGCACAGTCGTCTCCAGTTCCATCCATTCTGTCACAAATGATAGTTCTTTCTTTCTGCTGCGTAGTATTGCCTTGTGTAAATGTACCACTGTTTTTTGATCCACTTATTTACTGATGGGTATTTAGGCTGTTTCTAGTACTTGGCTATTGTAAATTGCACTACTATGAACATTGGGGGTGCATAGTTCTTTTGACTTGGTGTTTCAGGGTTTTTAGGGTTTAATTCCAGCAGTGGAATTCCTGGGTCAAAAGGCAGTTCCATTTTTCAGTTTTTGAGGAAATTCCCTGCTGTTTTCCACTGTGGACTACCCAGTCTGCATTCCCATCAACAGTGTACTAGAGTTCCCTTTTCTCCACAACCTTGCCAGCACTTGTTGTTTGTTGATTTGTTTATTATGGCTATTCTGACCGGGGTGAAGTGGTATCTCATTGTGGTTTTAATTGTGTCTCTCTGATGGCTGAGCATTCTTTCGTATGTCTCTGGGCCCTGTGTATGTCCTCCTTGGAGAAGCATCTGTTCAGGTTCATTACCCATTCTTTAATTGGATTACTTGTCTTCCTGGTGTGGAGTCATATGACTTCTTTATATATTTTGGAGATTAAACCCTTGTATGAGGTATCATTGGCAAATATGTTATGCTATGTGGTTAGTTCCTTTTTCATTTTGCTGATATTCTCTTTAGTGGTGCAGAAACTTGTTAATTTGATGTAGTCCCATTGGTTTATTCTTTCCTTTATGTCCCTTGCTTTAGGGGACAATCAGTGAAAATATTGCTGGTGGAATATCTGAAAGTTTCCTGCCTAAATTCTCCCCTAGCACTTTTATGGTGTCATGACTTATCTTTAAGTCTTTTATTCATATTGAGTTTATTTTTGTGTATGGTGTAAGCTGGCGGTCAAGTTTCATTTTTTTACATGTAGCTGTCCAGATCTCCCAACACCATTTGTTGAAGAGGCTATTTTTACTCTGTTTTATGCTCCTGTCCCCTTTGTCATATACTAATTGACCACAGAGACATGGGTTTATTT